AATTCTGTAAAATCTGTGGTAATGTCTCCTAGATCTTGATATTGTAATTTTAAAAATGTATAATTGATATTGTGTAACAGGAAGAAAAGGTCTAAAGGTGCAGGGGAAGTGGGAGGGGTAGGGGAAAGGAAAAAAGGGAAAAGAAAAAATATGTGAAAAGGAAAAAAATGGAAACAAAGTCTTTGCAAATAGGGAAGGGTGGAGGGGGTGAAGGGAGGCCAGGAGAAGGGGAAAAAAAAAGAACCAAGAGACTCATGCAAAGGTACAAGATCCCAATGATGAATGTAACTGTATTTTATACCTAAAATGTACCAATAAACTTAATGGGAAAAAAAAAGATGCATAACGTAAGAGCTTTCTAGGAAATTCGATTGTGCATTCAAGGTTGTACCCCTGCAATGGGCGGGGTCCTAGAAGAGAAGTACTAGCTGCCATGTGAGCACTAAAGAGGATGCCCAAACTTCATTAGGGAGTAGACAAAAAAAAAAAAAAAGAGTGGGAATTTCCCAGGCAAGGTGGGAGGCAGGAGCAGTGCTCTGGGATAAGCAGAGGCCTGGAAATTTCTTAAAGGAATTAAAAGAAATTTGGAGTGGCGAGCACACTGGTAGTCAGGGGCCAAGTGTGGTCCAAATGGTCGGTGTGCTGTCTGAGAAGACTCTCTTGGGCTGCTTGGCAACTGGATTGAAGGAGGATGAAAACCGAGCAGACAGGCTAGTCGGGAGGCTCTTCCATTCCAGGCACAGACAGAGGATGGCTGCCTGGACCAGGGGCAGCCAGGGAGAGGAGTGAAGATCTTCAAGACAGGAGGCAGAGTGACAGGCCTCAGCTGGAGGTAGGCTGGAGATGGGCCAGAATGGAGAAGACAGATGACCCCAGGTTTCTGACTGCACAGATGCATGGATGTCCATCCCTGGGATGGGAAATGTCCCACCTTTTCATACCATAACAATGGGGATTAAGTTTCCATGCCCAAATCTAGGGGGTCATTCAGACCATAGCAGTGTTCTTCCTGTGTGTGTGTCCTGATGCTTGGAATTGAACTCAGGACCTTGCACTTGCCAGGCAGCCGTGGCCCCGCTGAGCTACATCCCCAGCCCAAGTTTCTCCTTTTGATATGGACACCAGTCTGGATTCAGGGTCCAACTACCCTAGCATGACATCTTAATGAATTACATCTACAATGATTATATTTTCAAATAAGGTCACATCTGAGGCACTGAGGTTTGGACTTCAACATACTGAATTTGGAGGACTCAGCTGAACCATAACAGGCAGTGGTGAAAGCTATGTGAGCAGGTGACATATTGGGACAGGTGGCCAAGCCTGCTGCTTGGGGCCCCCCTGATGGATGGGTAGAGAGGAGAGAGCCCTGAGGACTCTAGTGTGTGAAGGGAACTGAGCAGACAGAACCAGAGAGGGAGGAGTGATGTGGAAACCACTGGACACCAGGATCCAAGGGGCAATGGTCAGCAGCACTCCCCACAGGAAGGAGGACAGGTGAGAGAGGGTGGTTTTGGGGACAGATGCTGGTGACAGGTTCTGATGGAGAGGTGGGGGCTGAAGATTCTAAGACCTAAGAGGTCATTTGAAGACCCACGTCCTTGGGCCAGTGGATGACGATGTAGTTAGCCTAGAGCCCAGGTGGAGGGACCAGCCACTGGGACAAAAAAGCGACAGCCACACAATTCCAACTGTGCTGTAAAACAACTAGCCCCGTGGCCCTTAAGATGATGGCCACAAGGGCCACCCATGCCGCCTGCCCTCCGCTCACATGGAGCCACTCCTCGGGAACGTGGTCCCAGCCACAGAGAGCCCCACACCAGGAACCAGCGTCTGAAGCTCGGTGTCACCTGAAAAGCACATAACAACATGGGATGAGCTCATCCAGCCTCCTGGACATTACTGCTCACGCTCCACACTGCCATGCACCTAACACTCACACATCCGCCCTCAGGCCCACACTGTCACTCTGGACACACAGTCACGCAAAATACCCCCGACTGTGTCACAGGTCCCTTAGGCCCAACACTGCATCCGCCATTGCAGTCACACGTGCTGACAGTAAGTCACATTCTGTGTCATTACGCACGTTCCGATCCCTCAGGCAGACCCAGTGGCACCCACAGAATGACCACGGGCAAACATTCTTCTCACACACACCAGTGAGACCCTGTCTTAAATAATAAATAAGATGAGTAAATACATGGGGATATAGCTCAGTCCAAAGGCCTTGGGTTCAATCCCTCTTGCAAAAACAAAACCTGTCTCTGTCTCTCTCTCTGTCTCTGTCTCTCTCTCACGCTCATGCTCACGCGCGCGCACACACACACACACACACACACACACACACCCCAGGCTGTCTCCTCTCTGGGTCTCCGTCGCAGTGACACCCCTCCCCCGCCTGGGGACGGCAAGGAGCTGCTCTGCAGGCGCAGGCGGTGGCCAGGGTGGCGGGCGTGGCGTGACCCGCGGCTCAGGACTCTGCCCGGCCTGGGCGCGGCCGCAGCCCGGAGGGCGACGTGGAGGCCACGTGGACCGGCCGGGAGGGGCGGCAGGCGCGGGCTGCGGCCCCAGCGAGCGCGCGAAGCCGGCAGGTGGGTGCCCGCGGGCTGGAGGTCCTCGGGGACTGGGAGCGGAGGAGCCGGCGATGGACGGTGGGGGCGGCGGGACCGGGCCGCCTGAGGGACCGAGGCCCGGGGCTGGGAGGGGCCCAGGTTGTCTCCCAGCGCAACCGCGACGGGCCGAGCGAGGCTGCTCAGGTGGGCGCCCTTGGCCGGCGCCTCCTTTCCTAGGAGGCCCGGGTACAGCACGCAGAGGAATAGAATAAATCAGGGCGGAGGATTCAGCTCCCGCAACTTCCCAAGACTCAGTCTGAAAAGGAACGATCCCCGTAGGTGTGAGTCCCGGCCCCGCAAGGACTGAGGCAGAGGCTGAATGGCCATTGACAGGGATGCTGAGTGGGACCTGCTTGCTTGTGAGGGACAGCACGCAAGTAACCGCTAAAGGCCCCCACAGCTTCTGAAACGCGCGGGGAGCACCTGCCTGCTGCCAACCTGGCAGCCTGTGCTGTCTCACTGCACCCTCTCCGGGTCCCTATGAAGTAGGCACTGCTGTCCTCGTTTTTAAAGTGAAGATCCCAGGGTTCAGAGGGGTTAAGACACCTCCCTAGATCACACAGCAGGATTGGATCAGAAGTCTAACCCCAAGCCTGAGCTCTGCCTTCACGTGCTGGTGTAAAGGCTGGAACAAATCTGAAGTCCAGTCTTTGTAAGTGTGAGTGTGTGAGTGTGTGTGTGTATGACTGAATTACTTTACGGGATTACATCACAATTGTTAACTAACAGTCACAGAGGCTTTCATGTGTTTCTTAGGGCAGCAGATGTTCATGTACATTGTAACTATAGGAAATGCTTAGAGACATTTTTGTTTGACAAGCAGTGGTTCATGACTGCTTTGTTTCTGTTGTTTACAAAAGCTTTTGTAAAGGCTTGAAAATATGCAAGTATGGGCCAATCACGTTACACCAGCCTCCCTACACATTACCTGTGTTTCTGGCCCGGCCGTCTTTAAGTAACCCACAGGTGGGTTACTTGTGCTAAGAATGTCACAGCTGACTCAGTAGTTAAGAGAATATTACACTCTAAATCCACACGCAATTATGTAACGTTTTAAGATGAACTACAACCGAATGCTAAGGTGATCAGGAGGGTCCTGGATATTCCAAGTTGAGGATGGAACAGGTTGGGTAAAAACTCTGAAAAGTGAAAGTGAGGAGTATTTTAGGAGACTCTGCTATCCCTCAGTTTGAAGCTGAGCCGTGGAGTAATGGAGCACAGGAAGATGAGTCAGAATAACTTAGTGCCTGATTCAAGGAAGACCTTGAATGCTTGCTTGGGCGAGGACTCTGGACTGTAATAGAAATAGGGAGCCATTGAAGGTTCTGAAACAGTGAAGTGCCAGCAAAGGAACATTTATCTGATGTGGGTATGAAGAAGATAGCAGAGACAAGAAGAACAGTAAACGGCAGCTATATTTAGTGACTATAAGAATTACCTTACTATCCGTGTAATGTTCACTTTATGTGCAGTAAACATTGCTATCTCCAGCAAGCAGGCAAGATAACTGGTTTAGTGAGGATAAGTACCTGACCTGAGGACACGCGACAGTCACTGGTGGAGCTGGGGGTCGATGGTGGTTCTGACTGGTTCTAAATCTCTGTTTGCTGACCACCACCCAGACTGGATAGTTACGGATGTGAGGGATACAGGACCAATGGCAGAAAGAGGCAGGAACTTTCAGGGCCTGGTGCAAAAGTGATTCAGCTTCACAACAGTGATCGAACATTAGACTAAGCACAGGGAGGTGTCCTGAGAGTAAGGTCCGTGTGAGTGCCCGGGCTGCGCTTATTAGGGTCTGAGGATTATTATGGTGCCTTAACACTGCCCCCACCCCAGTTTAGCAGCTTAGCTAGGTGCAGTGGTGCACACTTGTAGTTCCAGCAACTGGAGAGGCTGAGGCAGAAAGATCACAAGTTTGAGGCCAGCCTGGGCTCCATAGTGAGATCCTGTCTCAAAATCAAAAATAAAAAGTGGTAGGGATGTAGCTCTGCAATAGCACGCCCAGGTTCAGTCCTCAGTACCACAAAACACGAAAACAAAACCCCCAATAATCTTGACTTTCTCTACTCCTGAGCACTACCTGGGCAGGGCAGCGGAGACAAGCACATTCCTACTCCTTCAGTGTTGGGTGGGGCAGCCCAAGGCTGGGGACTGAATGAAGGCCAAGGTTCCCCACCTTGTCTGTCTGGTGAGTGGCAGGAGGCTCCCCGGGGAATCACAGCCCCTAAGTAGTTTCTCCTTATGGTCGAGAGGTAGAAAGCAGAAGGAGGGACGGGGAGAGAAAGAGAGAGAACCAGACCTGCCCGTCTGTAGCATCATTTCAGCAATTCAAGGGGGCGAATCACAAACAGGAGTAAGAATTAGACAAAGGAATTTGCAGATATGTTTTGGGGAGCACCGTGGTGGCCTAAGGAGTGAGCGGGTTAGTGGGTCCGGGAGGTGCTCCCCCTTTACACCCGAGATTCAGTCTGTGGAGTTCGAAGATGTCCTGTCCTGAGAGGCGACTGCTGGTGGATGACAACACACAAAGCCAGGTAATAAGTTTGAGGGATTTAAATTCCTCCGTGTCTCCTGCGGCCTGGGCCCTGGCAGCGAGCAGATGGGGAGGAGAGAGCAATTTGAAGGGACCCCAGTGGGCAGGCCAGGAGAGGGTATGTGTGAGCCCACACAGAGCCATCCAGGAAAGCTTATGACAGGCGCTGCACTTGACAGCTCAGCTCCTGTCGGCCACACCTGCTCTGGGTCCCAGGCCACCTAAGCTACGGGTGGGAACCTGGGACAGAGAAGGCCTGGGAATTTAGGTCACCCCAGGTTAGATAGAGCTCAGGCCCCTGAACGTTGGTCATAGCCTCTTTCCTAGCAGCTCTCTATCTGTCTGTCTGTCTCTGTCCGTCTCTGCCCCACCCCAGGGGCCATTATACCACTGAGCTACAGCCCCAGCCCTTCTTAGTTTTTATTTTGAGACAGGGTCTTGCTAAGTTGCCAGACTGGGCTCAGACGTGTGATCCTCCTGCCTCAGCCTCTCCAATAGCTGAGATTATAGCTGCATACTGCTGTGACTACTTCGCTTCTCTATTTTTCTCTTAATTTTTCCCCTACTTTGTTTTATTTTGTTTTGTTTGGGTACTGAGGACTGAAGCCAGGACCTTTGCACTAAGCTACATGACCAATTCTTTTTATTTTATTTTGAGACAGGATCTCACTAAATTGCCAAATTGCCCAGGCTGGCCTTGAAAGTTTGCTCCTCCTGCCTCAGCTTCCCAGGTGTCAGGATTAGAGGGGTGCACCACCACACCTGGGTTCTCTTAATTGTTTTAACATTTCCTTATATATGTGTGAGCCTTAAGAGGAAAAAAGAATAAGTAATTCTACCCCAGACTATGAGGATATTGATAAGATATTCTTATCTTAAGGATAATAATACCTTACTAATGTTAGGTGTTTAAGTAACAATGCAGAAATGGGTTGGTGATGTAGCTCAGTGGTAGAGCCCTTGCCTGGCATGGAGGAGGCCTGAGGTTCAAGTCCCAGCACCATAAAAAGTTTTTTTTAAAGAAACGAAGAATGTTTATCTTTATTGTAGAGACATATTGACACTCACCTTCTTGGGGATGCTCCTCCTGATGCTGGCCCTTCCCAGGGTGTCTGTCAGTCAGCTTCCCACCCCTGAAGCAAATGCATCCAGTAACAGCAGTGCAAAGGGGTACCTGGGCTTGCTGTTTGGAGCCTCTAGCTCATGGTCCTTGGTCCTCTTTCTTTTCACCGTGCTAAGCTTTATTAGATCTTTTTAAAGAAACAATTAGGGTTTGCCTCTGTTTCTTCTCTCTACTGTATTTTAAATGTCTGGGTTTTGTTTTTTTTTTTTGGTATCGGGGATCGAACTCAGGTCCTTGAGCTTTCGCAGCAGGCATTGAAACCACTGAGCTAAATCCCCGGCCCCTCTGTTATTTTTACTTATTTAAATTTACTCCTCTCCCTAGCTTCTTGAGTTGGAAGTTAGCTCATTAAGTTTTAGCTTTTCCTCGAATGAAAGCTTTTGAGTTTGTTCATTTTCCCTCTAATGCTGTTTCAATATTTTCCAATTTTTTTTTTTTTTTTTTTTTAGTAAGGAGCTTGAACTCAGCACTTTTTGCTTTCGAGGCAGGCAGCGGCACCACTGAACTCAACCCCCAGCCCTTCCAATTCTAAGTATTTAACAGTCTTCATTATGATTTTCTTCTTTGTACGCATATACAAGTATGCTTTATAAATTTCAAAATATCTGAGTTTTTTATACCTCTATAGTGATTTCTCATATAATTGCATTTTGATTGTATAGCCTGAGACTGATTCTTTGATGTCCCTTGAGCCACACTCTCTGGCCTAGTACTTGTCAGTTTTTATAAATATCCCATGTGTAAGCTGGGTGTGGTGGCGCACAACTGTGATCCCAGCACTCCAGAGGCTGAGGCAGGAGGATCGCCACGAGTTCGAGGCCAGCCTGGGCTACATAGCAAGTCTCCGTCTCTCTCTCTCTTTTTTTTTTTTCGGTACCAGGATTGGACTCAGGACCTCACCCTTGCAAGCCAGGCGCAGCACCACTGACTAAATCTCCAGCCCAAGAATATGTATTTGCTGAGTGATTAAAGTGGGGTTCTATGTATGTTCACTAGCTTAAGCTTATAAAGCTTTTTTTCAAATTTTCTATGGTCTTATTAATTTTTAGTCTGCTTAGTACTAAATAAGATACATTGGGCCGGGGATTTAGCTCAGTGGTTCCACTGCCTGTTTTGCAAGCGCAAGGTCCCGAGTTCAATCCCTGGTACCAAAAAAACCCACAAAGATGCATTTTTCCCACTATAATGGCAGATTTGATTTTTCTCCTTATAGTTATACGAGCTTTTGTTTCAGACATTTTGAGGCTTTGTTGTTAGGTGCACACAAAGTCAGAGTTATTATGTTTTCTATAGAGAATTAAACATTTTGTCATTTCATAA